AAAGTAATAAGTATAAGGATGCTCAACAGTATGAAAAAGGGCATAGAAAAGCCCTGATACACTGAAACCAGCAGAACAGAGAGATTAGAGAGAGGTGCAACAAGAGGTGTTCAGGACTCCAGCCAGCCTTAGCTCTTATGCAGAGCTGCCATCAACACCAAGCATGAAAGAGCTACCCTTTTTATACAGATTGACCCCTCACAGAAAATGGACAACTAATTAACTAGAAACTATACATAATTGTAAATAACTTGGGACAGATCAAGACCAGTGGTGGGGAAGCACTCCCACCATCTACTTTGAAGATTGAACAGCACTACCCCGGAGTGACCCAGAGATTCCACCTTCAAGAACACACTAGAAATCCATTCTGTAAGCAGGTGGAGGTGGCACTAGAAGTGATCCTGGACATTAGATGAGCCACTTCTAGGCCTTCTGTCGATGGAAAACAGGCAGGGCAGAACTGTGAGGAACAGCCAGGCCTGAAGCAGACACCCACAGTCTGTGGATCACTTCTAGTCTCAAACAGGATGCCTAAGGCTAGATGGGAAGACTATCTTACATGACCAGGGTGGATCCAGAAAGAGAAGAGAGTAGCAAACACTAGACTCTGCTGACATATATTTCACCATGGCCTTATTTATTATTTTCATTTTTGTTCTCCTGCCATAAGAACCAGCAATTCCATTTCTGAGTATTCATACAAAGAAATCCAAAATACTAATTTGGAAGAATATATGCACTACATTCATTGCAGCATTATTTACAATAGCCAAGATTTGGAAGCAACCAAAGTGTCTCTTAGTGGGTGAGTCGATATACCCACTATGGAAACCTTACACAATAGAATACTATTTGGTAATAAAAGAGGAAACTTTTACCCATTGCAACAACATGGGTGGATCTGACGAACATTATGCTCATTGAAAAAGGCCAGTCAGTGAAAGACAAGTATCATACAATTTCACTCATATGTGGAATCTAATAAACAATCTGAAATAACCTGTAAAATAGAGACAGACTCATAGGCTGACAGCTCTGGAGGTGGGTGTGAGGTGGAAGAATGGGCACAAAATAAAAAACAAAGAGGGAAAAAGAAGTCATGGACAAGGATAACAGTGTGGTGATTGCAGGGGTGGAGCAAGGGCAGTGGGTGGAGTAAGTAAGGGTTTGGGGGAATAAATGGTGATTGAGAAAAATAGCTGTTTAGTTTCTTTTTAAAAAGCAATAAAACATCCATTTCAACAGCACAATAATTTTATGCAAATAACTAAACAATCCAACTTTAATTATTTAAAATAATACATATTTATATTTTCTGATTGCTCAATGTGAAGGTAGAATTAGTTGATTCAAGATATTCTGACAGTGTAGGAATTTACTTAGGGCATGGTCTTATACAGAGCTCTGTTTAACCCTGGTGCCATATCAGGCACTGGAAGGAGTTATACAGAAGAATAATGTAAAAGGTAAGGACTGTTACAGAGGCAGGCATGATCAATCATCATTTGTAGAGGAGGTGGCCACAGGCTCTGTGTGAAGGGTTCTGGAAAGTTTCCAAGGACAACATGACATTTGGATTTGGTCTTTGCAGGAGATATGTACCAGGTAAAAGTAAAAGGCAGGCAATGAAGGACTTTCCTATAGTGGGAGCATGTGGCAAAGCCTTCTTTATATGCTGTATGTGAGTGTGAGGTGTGGCTGAGTTTGAATGTGGTGACCACACACTGCTTTTGTGCACTCAATATTTCTCAAAGTGCATCTTCTTGAAAAAATACATTTGATTTTCAGTCACCCTGTCAGGAGTCAAAGGAAACTCCTTACAACACTGAGAAATCTGTTTTGCTGTGAGACAGTGATCACTGTAAATTTTTCTTGATAACTGACTGTTGTTTAAAAAAAAGTGACCCTTCTGTGTGATCACATCTGCAAATTTTAAAACACTGGCAGTATACTTTCTGTGACTGCCTTTATAACACAAAATTACTAAAAAATTTTAAACGCTTGAAAGCAACAGGTTATGATAAGTATTAAAGGTGGAGGCAGCACATATAACTTTTTTCTTAGTAAAGTATGGCTGCTTCTCACCTTGGTCATCTCCACTTGAGGGCACAGAACTTTACACACCAAAGCCTGCAAAATTTCTCTAGGGGCCTGGTTTATAATTAATTTGGCCTAATTGTTATATTATAACACCTGAAAACTATAGGTCAAGGTGATTATTTCTAATTCTGATTTATTGTTTTGTGTAAGTATTCAAACTACACCTCTTGTAGATATAGCCTGATATGCTCTCCCTATTTCTTTTTTTATGTTGTTCGAGTACAGTTGTCCCCATTTTCCTAACACTGCTCTCCTCCACTGCACCAAACCCACCTCCCACTCTCAAGTCTACTCCCCTTTGACTTTGTCCATGAGTCCTATATATATGTTCCTTCCTTTGACCTTTCCCCTTCTTTACACCTTATGCCCCTCCCACCCCCCCTTTGGTCAATGTCTGTTTGTTCTTTATTTCCATTTCTCTGGTTCTATTTTGCTCACTTCTTTGTTTTGTTGATTAGTTTGCACTTATAGATGAGTTCATATGGCATTTGTCTTTCACCCCCTGACTTATTTCACATAGCATATTCTCTTCAGTTCCATCCATGCTACTGCTCCTTTCTTCTTTCTGCTGCATAGTATTCCATTGGGTAAATATACCACAGTTTTTTGACCCACTCACTTACCAATAGGCACTTAGGTTGCTTCCAGCACTTGGCTATTGTAAATTGTGCTGCTATGAACATTGAGCTGCATAGGTTCTTTCGAATTAATGTTTTAGTATTCTTAGGGTATAATCCCAGCAGTGGAATTGCTGGGTCAAAGGCAATTCCACTGTTAGCTTCTTGAGGAAATTCCATACTGTTTTCCACAGTGGCTTCACCAGTTTGCTTTTCCACCAACAGTGCACTAGGGTTCCCTTTTCTCCACAACATCACCAGCACTTGTTATTTGTTGATTTGTTTGATGGCCATTCTGATCAATGTGAAGTGGTGTCTCATTGTGGTTTTAATTTGAATCTTTCTGATGGCTAGTGATGCTGAGCCTCCTTTCATATGTCTCTGGGCCCTCTATATGTCCTCCTTGGAGAGTGTTTGTTCAGGTCCTTTGACAATCCAATTAAAAAATTCTCTCCCTATTTTTTAGACTAATAAACAACTTTAGCTTATCTGTTCTGGCAAGGCACACTTAAAGGCTATGTCTGCTTATGGGTCCTCAACAAGGTCTCTATGTAAAATGAGCTTGCTGTGTCCTCTACTTTTTAGTTACAGTTTTTTTGCAAACACCAAGAATGAACTCTCCCATGGACTTCTGATGCATCATATCTAATAAAACTGGGCTATCAAAAGTTGCCCCATGTAATACCTTCTCTTGTGGAAATGACTATAAAGAAATATGTTGCCAATGAAAATTCTTTTTTTTTTCAAAGATTTTATTTATCTTTAGAGGGGAAGGGGGGAAGGAGAGAGAGAGAGAAACATCAATGTATGGTCAATGTATGGTTGCCTTTCGTGCGTCCCCCGCTGGGAACTGGCCTGCAGGGAACCGGCCTGCAACCCAGGCATGTGTCCTGACTGGGAATCGAACCTCAATTGTGTGGTTTGCAGGCCCGCGCTTAATCCACTGAGCTACACCAGCCAGGGCTTGAAAATTCTTTCATAATTCTCATTAATGACTTAAATACTAACTAGTGATGGGGAGCAATGTAAAGCAAATGTCTTCCAAATGCTCAAGCAATAGAATAACCCTGGAGAATTTAACTTACAGCATGCTTCTCTGCGTAGAATGGTAATAAGGGTTTAATTTTTTATCTCTGTGTATTTTTAATAGGACTAATTGTCCACTTTTTATGGACAATTAAATTAATTTTCAAAGAACATTTTATATCAATAGGGTGTTCACCCAAACCCAGTTCTTTACTCTTATTAATCCTTCACAACCTTTTCTTTATTTCATACTAACAAGATGACATGTGGGTATAATTGAAGTTGAGCCTCCATTTTGTTTTCTTGGTTACTAAAATTATCCCAAAGCCACCATCTTGGCCTTAAAGAAGAAAAATGTCTCACATGATGCTCATAATAGGTTAATTTTGATTGCAGGTTATAAACAAAAATGATATATTTAAAAGTTCATTACTAAGAGTCTAGTTTTTAAACAAAATAATTCTAAAATGTTTTTAAACTACATTTTCTAAGATGAAATCTTTTTAAGAAGTAGTATTTCTGAATATATAGCAATTATGAGACCAGAGTATATATGAATACACTGATATAAGAGATGGTTTCTCTCAGGGAAGTGTTTAGAATTCTATGAAACTTATCCTTGGAATTTTTACAACTGTTGAAATTCCAGAACTTTTTGAGAATCTTAGAACAGATATGGATCAGTCTGAAAGAAAAAGAAGTGCCTCCATGGATACTTTCGCATACAGTTTCTGAAGGGTACATGTAAAACTGACACCCTCAGTGAAAATATCTAGGGTGAGGTCAGGCAGGGAGGCTCCATGCTAAGCATCTTGATTAAGAACACCTGTTTTCGAGGAACAACTAGGAAAGACACAGGGACGAGAACTAAGGGGGGTGGAAATGGGAGGGAGGTGGGGAGCAAGGTGTGGGGGAGGCTGGGATGGGAAAAATAGACAAAAAACTGTGCTTGAAAAATAACTAAATAAAAATTTTTAAAAAAAGATAAAAAAAAAGAACACCTGTTTTCAAGATTGGGCCATCAAGATGTTTAGAGGATTCCCTACATTTAAATGACTCTTGGGTTTTCTCATCTCCTGCCACCAAGTTACAAATATAGCTTTTTAAGTATCTACTATAAATGGATTTCTTAAGATAAAAAAATCTCTGACCTCCTTATGTAATGAACAGAAAAGCATAGCATGGGATTTTTCTTTAGCTATCATTCTCCTTTCAGTCTGGCCTATAGGGGCTTTCTGCATGCTGATCACCAACCGCTTGTTGAGTTGCTCCATCTGCTGAATGGACCCTGATCTCTGCATCCCGTCATGGATGGCTGCTGCTGTTGGACGCTGCCAGGTAGTTGTGCGGTTCACATGATCCACATAAAAGACCCGTCCATGGCTGTCAATGCGAGCTTCCCAGTCTAGCATGTAATAGAAAGGCAAAAATAAGTAAATAAATAAGTGACAAACTGTTGATTCATGTGAAACAGATACCACCTCCAGGTCTTCCACAGGTAGAACTCACTATTGGCTATTTGATGAAGGTAAACACTGACCCAGAACCTGCTATGACTTCTGAGGCATGGATCTGGAATTAACATTCCAGAAAAGAACATACTAGTTGCATATTCTCTACTGGGCCACTTTTATTATTTTTTAAAAGATTTAATTAATTTACTTATTCTAGAGACAGAGGAAGGGAAGAAGAGAGAGAGAGCCTCTCACACATCCCAAACAGGGGAACTGGCCCACAACCCAGGCATGTGCCCTGACTAGAAATTGAACTGGTGACCTTTTGGTTCACATGCCAGCACTCAACTCACTGACCCACACCAGCCAGGACTCTGCTGAGCCATTTTAAACAGTAATTATAGTACTTCACATGCAATCTATGTCAAGTTCCAGTAATTTCAAAAGACAACAACTAATGTTTATTTTATTTCTTTCTTTAAAATTTTTCATCCTGTCAATCTTCTTGGCCACTTATATGGCAGCTGAAAGATTATAGTTCTAACCATTTTAACTACAGCTCTAAAATACTACACATGCAACTTTAGATGCTCTCCATCTAATATTTAGCAACTTTTATTGATTGCTATTCATTTTGACAGGGATTTGATACCTAGGGTTTCAAACCATTCTTTTGATAGCATGTAATTTCATAGTGTATATTCAAACCACTGTGGCTGCCAAATATCTCTTGACCAAAACCAAACCAAACCAAATCAATAACAACTATTAAAAAGCATCAAGCTTCTTATTTATTTATTTTCTTTTAAATTATTTTTCAGCTATAGTATTCTGTCTTTTATTCCCATCCCAGCCCACCTCCCCGTGCCCCCACCTCCCTCCCCTTTCCACCCCTCTTAGTAGTTGTCCATGTGTCCTTCATGCTAGTTCCTGAAAATCCTTCCTTTTTTTCCCCTGAAATTCCCTTCCCTCTCCCCTCTGGTCTCTGTCCCCTTGTTCTCTATTTCAGTGTCATTGTTTTTATTTTGCTTGCTTATTTGTTTTGTCGTTTAGCTTCCTGTTAAAGGTGAGATCATATGGTATTTGGCTTTCAACATCTGGCTTATTTCACTCAGCATAATGCTTTCCAGTTCCATCCATGCCGTTGCAAAGGGTAGGAGCTCCTTCCTTCTTTCTGATGCATAGAATTCCATTGTGTATATGTACAATAATTTTTTGATCCATTCATTTACTGGTGGGTACCTAGGTTGCCTCCAGCTCTTGGCTATTATAAATTGTGCTGCTATGAACATTGGGGTGCACAGGTTCTTTTGGATTGGTATTTTAGGGTTCTTAGGATATAGTCCCTGCAATGGAATTGCTGGGTCATAAGGCAGGTCAATTTTTATTTTTCTGAGAAAATTCCATACTGTTTTCCATAATGGTTGTTCCAGTCTGCATTCCCACCAACAGTGAACTAGGAACCCCTTTTCCCCACACCCTCTCCAACATTTGTTATTTGTTACTTTGTTTATGATAGCCACTCTGACTGGTGTAAGGAAGTATCTCATTGTGGTTTTAATTTGCATCTCTCTGATAGCTAGAGATATTGAGTATTTTTTCATGTGTCTCTGGATCTCTTCATGTATGTCCTCCTTGGAGAAGTGTCTGTTCAAGTCCTTTTCCCATTTTTTAATTGGGTTATTTGTCTTAAAGTGCAGTTGTGTAAGTTCTTTGTATATTTTGGAGAATTAAACCCTGGTCTGAGGTATCATTGTCAATTATGTTTTCCCATACAGATGGTTGTCTTTTTAATTTAATATTACTGTCTCTTTTTTTATTTTTTCTTTATTTATTTATCTTTAGAGGGGAAGGAGATAGGGAGAGAAACATCAATGTACGGTTGCCTCTAGTGTGTCCCCTGCTGGGAACTGGCCTGCAGGGAAGTGGCTGGCAACCCAGGAATGTGCCCTGACTGGGAATTGAACCTCATTCCTCTGGTTTACAGGCCTGCACTTCAGCCATGCAAAAGCCTTTTATTTTGATGAGATCCCATTTGTTTATTCTTTCCTTTATGTCCCTTGCTCTAGGGGACATATCAGTAAAAATGTTGCTGCGTGAAACATCTGAGATTTTCTTGCCAATGTTCTCCTCTAGGACTTTGATGGTGCCATGGCTTATATTTAAGTCTTTTATCCACCTTGAATTTATTTTGGTGTATGGTGTAAGTTGGTGCTCCAGTTTCATTTTTTTGCACGTAGCTGTCCAGTTCTCCCAACACCATTTGCTAAAGAGGCTATTTTTACTCTATTTTATGTTACTGTCCCCTTTGTCGAATATTAATTGACTGTAGAGAGTTGGGTTGATTTCTGGGCTCTCTGTTCTCTTCCATTGGTCTATGTGCCTATTTTTATGCCAGTACCAGGCTGTTTTGATTACAGTGGCCTTGTAACACAGTTTGATATCAGGTATTGTGATCCCTCCTACTTTGTTCTTCTTTATCAAAAGAGCAGCTGCTATTCAGGCTCCTTTATGGTTTGATATAAATTTTTGAAGTGTTTGTTCTATGTCTGTGAAATATGCCATTGGTACTTTAATAGGTATTGCACTGAATCTGTATATTGCTTTGGGTAGTATGGACATTTTGATGATGTTAATTCTTCCAATCCATGAACACCGAATACGTTTCCATTTGTTTCTGTCTTCTTTGATTTCTTTCTTCAGTGTTGTGTAGTTTTCTGAATACAGGTCTTTTTCCTCCTTAGTTAGGGTTATTCCCAAATATTTTATTTTTGTTTTTGCTATATCAAATGGGATTTTTTTAATTTCTTCTTCTGCTGATTTATTGTTAGTATATAAAAATGCCTTTGATTTCTAGATACTGACTTTGTAACCTGCTGTTTTACCAATTTCATTTATTAGTTCAAGGAGTTTTTGAGTAGAGTCTATAGGATTTTCCACATATACTATCATGTCATCTGCAAACAATGACAGTTTTGTTTCCTACTTTCCAATGTGGATGCCATTTATTTCCTTTTCTTTTCTGATAGCTGTGGCTAAAACTTCCAATACTATATGGAATAGAAGTGGTGAAAGTGGACAACCTTGTCTTGTCCCTGATCTTAATGGAAAAGATTTTAGTTTTTGCCCATTGAGTATGATGTTGGCTGTAGGTCTCTCTCGTATGTGGCCTTTATTATATTGAGGAATGCTCCCTCTATCACCACTTTGCTGAGAATTTTTATCATAAATGGGTGTTGTACCTTATCAAAAGCTTTTTCTGTGTCTATTGATAAGATCATGTGGTTTTTGTCTTTGCTTTTGTGTATGTGATGTATTACATTTACCGATTTGCAAATATTAACCATCCCTGCATTCCTGGAATGAATCCCACTTGGTCATAGTGTATAATCTTTTGGATATATTGTTGGATGCAATTTGCCAATATTATGTTGAGGATTTTAGCATCTGTGTTCATTAGTGATATTGGCCTGAAATTTCCTTTCTTTCTTGTGTCTTTATCTGGTTTTGGAATTAGGATGATGCTGGCTTCATGAAAGGTGTTTGGGAGTTTTCCATCCTTTTGGATTTTTTGGAATAGTCTGTGAAGAATAGGGGTTAGCTCTTCCTTAAATGCTTTGTAAAATTCTCCTGTGAAACCATCTGGTCCAGGGCTTTTGTGTGATGGGAGTTATTTGATTACTGCTTCAATTTCATCTTCTGTTATTTGTCTTTTCAGATTTTCTGCTTCTTTTTAATTGAGGTTTGGAAGATTATATTTTTTTTTAGAAATTTATCCATTTCCCCTAGGTTTTCAAATTTCTTGGCATACAGCTCTTCATAATCATTTCTTACAATCCTTTCTATTTCTGTGATATCAGTTGTAATCTCTCCTCTTTCATTTCTGACTGTGTTTATTTGTGTCCACTCTCTTTTTTTTTTTGATGAGCCTTCTTAAAGACTTGTCTATTTTGTTTATCTTTTCAAAGAATCAACTCCTGGATTCATTGATCCTTAGAATTGTGCTTTCAGTCTCTATGTCATTTAGTTCTGCTCTGATCTTGGTTATTTCCTTCCTTCTACTTGCTTTGGGGTGTTTTTGTTGTTGTTCCTTGAGTTCTTGCAGGCGTAGGGTAAGGTTGTTTGTCTGAAATGTTTCTATCTTCTTTAGGTAGGCCTGTATTGCTATAAACTTTCCCCTCAGAACTGCCTTTGCTGTGTCCCATAAGTTTTGGGTTGTCGTGAGATTGTTTTTATTTATTTCCAGAAACTTTTTGATTTCATCCCTGATTTCATTCAGTTGTTTCATTATCATTGTTTAATAGCACACCATTCAGTCTCCATGATTTTGGGTGCTTTGGGTATTTTCCTTTGGGGTTGGTTTCCAATTTCAGTCCCTTGTGGTCAGAGAAGATGTTTGGTATGATTTCAATTTTCTTGAATATGTTGATGCTCATTTTGTGTCCTATCACGTGATCTATCTTTGAAAATGTTCCATGTGCCTTTGAAAAGAATGTGTATTTAGCTTCTTTGGGATGAAGGGTTCTATATCTATCAGTTAAGTCCATTTCCTCTAGGGTGTTGTTTAATGCCACAATATCTTTGTTGATATTTTGTTTGGAAGATCTGTCCATTTTTGATAGTGGGGTGTTAAAATCCCCTACTATAATTGTGTTGCTGTCAATATCTTTCCTGAAGTCCTCTAAGAGTTTCTTGATGTATTTGGGTGCCCCTATGTTTGGTGCATATATATTTACGATGTTAATGTCTTCTTGGTGGATTATTCCCTTGAGGATTATGAAGTGACCTTCTGGGTCTCTCTTTATGGCCCTTTTTTTAAAGTCTATTTTGTCTGATATGAGAATTGCTACCCCAGCTTTTTTTTCTTGTCCGTTTACTTGGAAAACTTGTTTCCAGCCTTTCACTTTTAGTCTGTGATGGTCTTTTGTCCTGAGGTGGGTCTCTTGTAGGC